CTATAAATAAAATCAAGGAAAAAAGATGTACTCCAGAGAGGTGACCTATAGGGGTAAAAATCACAGCCAAAAAAATAAATAAATAAATAAACTAATATTTCTTTTAAAGAAAATGCATAACAAATCTTATTGAGAAAAGTCCAATAATTTTAAAAGCTTTTTTCTTGCTTTCAGGAATTCTGATTTTTTTTTTACATCCATAAAGTTGAATGATGTACTCTGATCAATTGCTCTTTTTAAAAGATAAAAATAGTATCACAACCTGATGGAAATCCTAAGATGTATAGTATTACACTCATACATTAAAATGTACGGTTCAATAACAAGAGACAATACATTGCACTAATTCACATACTTCCTCAACTTTTAATATAAAAAGATTAGGGGTGCCTGGGTGGCTCAGTTGGTTAAGCAACTGCCTTCAGCTCAGGTCATGATCCCCGGGTCCTAGGATCGAGCCCCGCATTGGGTTCCCTGCTCAGCGGGAAGCCTGCTTCTCCCTCTCACACTCCCCCTGCTTGTGTTGCCTCTCTCGCTGTCTCTCTCTCTCTTTCAAATAAATAAATAAATAAAAATCTTTAAAAAGATTAGACTATATTCATTAAAAACTTGGTGAACTTTTAAAATTGGTCATTCACAGCTGCAGTAAATGTTCCTACATGTTATTAAGAAAGAGGTCGAGGTGTGATTGTTCTTTGCACAAACTTTATCCGAGGCAGCAGCAAACATGAGTTTTCTTGACACGGTTCAGTAATTCAGGCACTTCAACTCCTTTCAGATCCAGTTAAACATGCTTTTAAATAGATGGAGGTGGCCTATTAATAGACCTCATTTCCTTACCCAGGACTTCAAATGAAATTATGTACTTTCTCTCTAATGTTTAAAAAGGTCTCTAAGATATTTTCGCAGGTTCACATATTTAAAAGGCCGGCCAAGTCTGGCTGTACCCACCAGAGAGAAATTCTTCGAGAAGATTACCAAGTGATGGTTTGTATTTTGTGACCTCTTTACTAGTAACACATGTTCAAGAGGAAATTGGCAGTGATTTCCCACTTCTCCACTTGGCCAATTTCTTCGCTCTTTTCTCTCTCTCCTTCACACACGGACGCCTTTAAGGGGTGTAACCTGCGATCTCATCCACCCCTTTCCTTTGAGAGTCTCTCTTTCCTGATGAGATTTTCTCTCTTCAGCTCAGGCAAGCTAATCCTTCACTCATATTTGACACCAATTCCTTCATTCCTGGCCGCGTGTTAAGTTGGCTTGTTTACGGAATTTTAATATTTCTAATAAGTTCATATTAACTTATTAAATACCTATATAGTATTTGAAAAATTAAATTAAGAAACAAAATTTAATCATCAGTATCTTCCTGCTCCCCTTTGATGTCTACTTCGTTCCAAAGAAAAGCAAAATGCTTAGAAATCTTGACTGGAACTACTCTGGAGAGACCCGATGGCTCTCTCCCTTTACATATCTATTAATTGATCTAATCTAACTCTAAATCAATTCAAAGCCAGCAGTTTCTGGTAAGACATTTATTTTACACGTGTGCTTAAGTGGTGATAAATCAGGTCTTTTCAAAAAAATTTATTAAAGTGATCCTACTAAATATAGAAATGTAGTGTGAGAAAGAGCAAGTAATACTTTGTGATTTGAACAGAGGAAAGCGAGAGAGAGAAAAAAAAAACCTGCCTGGAATTAGTAAGAACTGACAGTGTTTTGGATGATATTTTCCTTCTCGTTAAAAAGCAACAAATACCTTTTGATGCGACACGGTCAACTTGGAAAATAAAAACAAAACACTAGGATGGAGTAGCACACATGCACTACAGCAACCTCATTTATAACCAGTGACGAGCAAAACGCACGAAGTTTTTACAAGAATGTGATTGTTGTCAGAAGGAATGGGGTCCCCCAGCGCCGCGTTCAGCTTGGTTTGCACTCAAAGCCATGGCCGAGGGGCCGGGCGGGCGCGGCTCGGAGCCTGGTGGGCACAGACCAGCAAGAAAGTGAATTCTGCACACTGCACAAATCATGGCTCAGTTCAGGGCAGTCAGATTGCATCTGGGATCAACCGACTGTGCTTCATGAAACCGTCAGCCCTCATTTGTGTCTAGCTGTTTTCCCAGGTCCGGCTGTAAACAAGGCCGGCTGGGGGCTGTCGGCCTCCGCTCCCGCGCGCGGGGAGACCTCACCGTCAGACCTGGCCCCGGGCCTCCGCGCGCGCGCACGCACGTCAGGGTTCCAGCTTCCAGACAGCCCTTCCAGCGAACGCCCGCGAGTCACAAAGCAAAGCCACCTTGGCATGACCGACTTAGGGTCTCCTTTCAGAGACATACCTTAGATTCCTACACATTCTGGCATGGCCCGTCTCGTGCATGAAACTAAAGGAGGTGTTCCTAATATGAACAACTGTTTTATTTTTGTTTTGTTTTGTTTTGCTTTTTGGGGTTTTGTTTTGTTTTGTTTTCAGCAGACTACCTCAGCAGATTCATCCTGTTGGGGAGGAGGGGGTGGTAGTGATTGTTTTAGTTGTCTCACTGCTCTGGGGCTTTGCTTGGATCAGACAAAAAAAAAAAAAAAAATGGCTGGAAATACTGTCAGTCTGGTCCACCTCCAGGAACCTAATCATGCCTGAATTGCTCGGAGGAGTGTAATGATGGTAAACAGGAACAGGTATGTTGGCTTCTGTTCTCCTCCACGTTGGCCCTCGCATTGCCTTTACAATAAAGCAAAAGACTGTTTTGAAGGAACATCACCTCAATAATAAAAGGCAGGGGGTGTTATTGAAGCCGTTTTCCTTGGCAAGTGGCATAAAGGTAATATTCAGTATTCACCTCATTGAATTCTCCTAGCCAGCTGGTCTGTCCCTGTTAAGACTTTCATTTATGCAGCTTGAGCTGGACCCCTTTTTGTTCCCCCAGTCTATTACTTTGTCTATTTAAGGGACAACAGCCAAAGTGAAACAGCTTGCAATTTGCACCTGTCTGCTCTAAGCCTTCCATGTTAGATTATATGGAGAGCAAACTCTTCATTGCTAATGAGACCAAGACCCGGTGGGGCTGAATGCAGTTTTGTTGGGGGGCTCATGGAATATTTTAGTGGGGTTTTCCCCCTTTCCTAAATAATCTGATCAGGACCTCCCTATTCTGGTTTTGAATTCCTACAGTAAAAAAGTACCATTCAAAAAAAATGTAGTTGAAGTTGTGTATTTTTTGTAAGATTTTATTTATGTATTTTGAGAGAGAGAGAGAATAGGAGCGGGGGGAGGGGCAGAGGCAGAGGGAGAAGCAGACTCCCCACTGAGCAGGGACCCCCCCCCCAATGCAGGGCTCAATCCCAGGACCAGGAGATCATGACCTGAGCAGAAGGCAGATGCTTAACCAACTGAGCCACCCAGGTGCTCCAAAGTTGTGTATTCTTTAAAGAAAAATTTAAATGTCGTGTATCTAAGAATTGAACCAGCATTCAGTCTGAGTTGCCTCAGATGAGAAAGAAAAAAAATTAAATGCTAGGTTATTTCCAAGTTGTCATAAGCACAAAATACCTAGAGAGACCCTTAATTTGTATAAGTGGCCATGAAAAAAACAGTTGATAAAAAATTTTTGGCTGTGACAGAAATAGGACTAGTTTTCGAAATAGTATCAATTGCCAGAAAGTGAACCGGTGTTCTCTGCTTATATTACCTTTGAAAATGTAATTGACTGGATGGAAAATAAAAATTCAAGTGGCTGAGTTCAAAATCACACATAGAGAGATGTATATGTGATATCATCATGTGACTCACAGAGTACATTCTCCACAAACACAAAAGTGTCAGCATACTATTTATTCTCTCCCACCTTTCTTCCAGAAAGGGGGATCCTCTGCATCCCCCTAAGCTTTGAAGAATTGTATCAGTGGGCTGCCATCTATTTTTTTAAAGAATTTAAATTAAATTCATTGTGATGAAAGAATTTTAAGTAAAGCTTATAACACTTCCCCAAACCTTATGTATTTAGAAAAAATAATAATTTTTGGATAATTTGCCAAAATATCCTTGAAGATTATCCAAAATTTAGTAAAAAATATATATATATATTTGTAGAGATACATATATATAAAATTTATACTGAATATATAAACAGAAGGTATACTGAATATATATAAATAGGTATACTGAAAAATATATATATATAAAAGTGTATATATATATATATACACACTTTTAATCAAAGGATTCGTGCTACATTTGGATTCCAAAAAATCTCTCACATTGGCACCTCCTGTGGAAATGATAACTGATATGGTGCCAAGTTCAATGAAGTTGAGGTGGCCACAAATACGGTCTCACTGGTAACTTCTCGATGGCTGTTGGCGCACATCTCGCCTGACTGATAATGCTCCAGCTCGTCAGTGCTGGATCCTCTCCCAGGACTCTCGGAGTTCTGCCAGCCACTGCCGAGTCTGGGTAGGTCAAAGGGTTGAGCCATGTGTAATTCAGAACAGAGGAGGTCCCACGGTCACTCCACAAAAACAATTACACTACTTATTTCGCTCTAGCCCTTGCCCCAAACTCACAAGCCTCACAGTTTCAGTGCGGCCAATCTAATTCTGCCCCTGGGCGATAAGCCACATGAAAATATGTGGTGCTGTGTTTATAAATCTAATCAAAACTAGAAACAGTGGACAGGCACAATGAGGTCCTACTATGGATCATGGGAATCCTTGGAAGTTCTGAAGGCACTTTTGTTTAACTTCTATAGACTCTCTTTTGCTACTACATTGTCTGCTACACTCGTTAATCATCCTCTTTACTCGTGAGTGCTTACAAAGGAGGCTAAATTTCTCCTCACTTCTCTACTTTTCGTCCGTGGATCCTATTATGAAAAATAAAGCTTAAAAGGCTGCTTTTAAAGGAAAAAATCAAAAAGGGAACTACTGTTAGATCCATCTTTACCTCTCTGTCCATGTTCTCCGCTCCTTGCCCTCAGCAATGCACAGATTTAAATCAAGTCCCTCTAAAAAAGAAAAAATAATATTTAAAAACTGGAATAAATTGGTCTGGCCGTAAGATAGATGAAGCAATTTGGGGTCGGAGAGCTATGATGCTACTTAAATGGTCCCGAGAATTCTCAGCATCAACAGGATTTGATTTGGGGTCCTGTTTTTACTGTTGTTCTCGTTTGCTCGAGCCAGACTCCTGATAAACTGAGAGCCCATGAATGTTCACAAAATGTTTTACTAGGAAAAGTTCAGACTTGATCAAGACAGCCTAACCTTCCTGTTTTATGCCCAAAGGGTGACTAATTCTGATGGCACTAATAGGATGCTAAAAATTCACTGTTGATGCTTTACTACATTATCTATTTAAAAATAGGATCCAGGTTTGCAACTGTCCTAAATGGATGATACCTGATAAAGTCCATGATAAATATGTGCAATTAGGGACCAAGCAGATTAAATTCTGAGAACTTCATCCAGCGAAGAGATGCGATACACAAATTCTCATGAAAGGAGATGTGTTTTTAGTGCTCTTAAAACTCCTTGGATTTTAATTTTAATTAAAATGCGGTTGTTACAGGGCGCCCGGGTGTCTCAGTCGTTAGGCGTCTGCCTTCGGCTTGGGTCATGATCCTAGTGTCTTGGGATCGAGACCCGCATCGGGCTCCCTGCTCGGCGGGAAGCCTGCTTCTCCCTCTCCCACTCCCCCTGCTTGTGTTCCCTCTCTCGCTGTCTCTCTTTCTGTCAAATAAATAAAATAAAAATAAAAAATAAACAAAAATACAGTTGTTACAAATAAAGAACGCAAACTTCAAAAACAAAGGGAAGCCTCCACCCAAACAAACAAAAATTTAGATGCTCAGAATTGGCAGCATAAAATAAAAGTTCTCTCCTGACATGTATCACGGTAGTCCGAACACCCCCAGAAAATTGTGCCAAAGAGTTTAGAAAACAAATATACAATAAAAGTAAGCACACACACAGACGCGCGTGTGCACACACGTGCACGTATAGCAAACTTCAGATAACTATTTTGGATTGCAAACGAGGATAAATTTAATGTTCAAACAATCTGATAAAATAACCATCTGGATCCTGAAAAAAAAAAAAACTCCTTAGAGTCATGTGATAAATCATCAAGTTTAATCTGCAAGCTATTACATTGGATATTATTTCAATTGATAAAAATACTACACTAGAACTCAGTCGGGACCAGATTATTGTAATAATGTGTAGAAATAATAATAAATGGGAATTTTTTCTTTTTTATTTTTAAAGATTTTATTTATTTATTTGACAGAGAGAGACACAGCGAGAGAGGGAGCACAAGCAGGGGGAGTGGAAGAGGGAGAAGCAGGCCTCCCGCCGAGCAGGGAGCCCGATGCGGGGCTTGATCCCAGGACCCCGGGATCATGACCTGAGCCGAAGGCAGATACCTAAAGACTGAGCCACCCAGGTGCCCCAGATGGGAATTTTTTCTAATGAGCAAGATAGGCCCAGCATTTGTTAGAATATTATAAGCATTCACCAAAGAGCCTTCTCAACTTGGAGATTGCCCTTTAAAATGGTTATCAGTATTTGGCAGTAAAACAAAGTACATCATATATGAATGATATATGTAACATGCTTTTTGTTTGTTTGGAGCTCTCAGTCATAGTTTTAAAAAGTCACTTCACCATGTATGAGCTCTTCTATGGCTAACAATGTTGAAAAATGAAAGATTTTAATCCTTCTAGTGTTAATTTTAAAACTTACTTTTTTATGTATAACATCAGAGATTCAAAGATTATATAGGTTACTTCCTAAAAGAAGGGAAATGCATATAAAATTTTTTCAAAGGAAAAAAGTCTACATCAAAATGAGAAAATCTGAGCCAATTAGCAGAAGATGAGGTTTGACTTGCTTGTTTTTTTCCACTGCACAGTGACTAAAGAGTAATCCCAAGGCACATATTTCTGGGAATGTACTGTGAAGTGGGAATCTGTCTTCTTTGGGTTCCTTAAACTTGGTATTATTCTAATAGCTAATATTTGTCTTTAAAATATCTGTAATTTGTCAAGTGACTCATGTTATTGTCATCATAATTTATCTTGCAGACATATAATCTGAAATGTACAAACCACAAAACAAGCGTGTTTCTACTCACATCAATATAGGGCTCAGAAAACTTTCCAATAGGGCAGCCTGCTTTTGCCCCTTCACAGAAGGCTGCATTTTAGACATCTTTGTGCACAGATATTTAGAATGCGATATTAGTACAGTAAGACTGTAAAATTATGAAAAAAGGTCAGAATCCTTTCATTCTCTCATATAAAATAGGTAGCTAAATCTGAAAAGTGCTTTGATAGAACCTAGTGCTATATCATTTATTTTATTTCGTTTTATTTTTACCAAGTGATGTATCATTTAAAATGCAGCTCTTTCTAGATCTGTACAATTGTATATCTCCCTGTCTCATGAGCAAAGGGTGTGGTCTAGAATTCCTCCCTGCTTAGGAATCTCTGTGAGCCTAGATCAAGCATTATTTGCAGTTAAGAGCCTCAGTTTCCATGTATCTACAAGCCAGAATTTGGGACTCAGATCCCTTACAGTTGAGTCAGATCCCTTACAAACTGCAGAATAGAGGCAAGGAAAAACAATCCACCTACCCTGAGCCAGGGAACTATCAGTGAACACGTGACCAGGCTGTAGGACATAAAAAAGATGTAGGCAAGATGTCACTGCTGATCTAAATACTGACACACAAATGTGTGTGCCTAGTGCAATTTCTAGGAATTTAATTCAAAGGCCTCCAAAGGGGGAAGGAACTGTTAAAAGGTCAAAAATTACCCTTCAGTTGCTAAGAGCTGCGGCAAGGAGGGTAGATAGAGGCATAGGGGTGAGGCAAGTTCCAGGGACCAGCGATGCCAAATCAGTGAGAAAGACGTGCGGGCATTGGAGTGGACTTTGAGGAACAGGCAGGATTCAGAGTTAAACAGAAAAAGAGAGATGGGGGCACCTGAGTGGCTCAGTCGGTTAAGCATCTGCCTTCAGCTCAGGTCATGATCTCAGAGTCCTGGGATGGAGCCCCACTCTGGGCTCTCTGCTCAGCGGGGAGCCTGCTTCTCCCTCTCCCTCTTTGCTCTCTCTCTTGATCTCTCTCACTGTCTCTCAAGCAAATAAATAAAAAATCTTTAAAAATAAAAACTGATCACTTGTGGAACTGGCAAAATATGGAGCCTATCAAAGAACTGATGTATTTGCTAAACTGTCTGGATGTCTATGTTATCCAGAAAGTCCCCAAATAGCTTCCTTTTCAAAAGGAAAGGAAACTAAACAACAGTTATACATACTATATATGTACCAGAAGCCTTGGGTTGGGCCTTTTAGGAACATTGGATTTAATGAACTAATGGGCATCATTACAAAATTGTCACTATGGCTACAAATTTGGACCACAGTGCGGCATATTAGCTGAAATGCAAGTGGACTACCATAGGACTGGTGTCTTAAAAGCCAGTCTCAACGTTGCAAGCAGGTCGATAATTGCAATGTCACCTGATTGCAAGTAACCTGTTGACCACGTTCTGTTGAGCCTAGATTAATAATCACCTGCTAATTTGTATAGTCACTTTTTTTGGTTTGTTTGTTTTAAGGCTGATTTGAAAATGGCTTTCCCTGAAATTGTTGACCTTGTATTACAAATTAAATCCTGGAATTGCCAAATCTCTGACAACTGGTTCATTGCTTCCAGAGAAGGGAATTAACATGGCTACAGCTGTCATTCCATTGCATTTTTCTTCTCAAGCAGACCAGCAAGGGCAAAGATGGTGTGAGACAGAGGTTGCAAGCCAGATTCTGTCTGCAAACATGTTTTGTTTGACCTCCGCAGTGATTTAAAACATATTGAGCCTATATTTAAAAATAAGAAAATTGGCATAAAAATCTGACTTCTGGCTTCTCTTGGAAAATTTAAAAATTTGGCAAACTAGAGTCAACTTCCATGGTGAGCTGGAAGCGTACTCTCTCGGCATTGCACTCCTGGTCTCCAGCTTCCACTCTTCCTGCTGCAAACCACAAACCAAAAGGTAAGCTCCACAAGGGCAGAGTTGATTTAACTCATCGTCACATCCTCGGAACCTAGAACAGAGCCTGGCAAGCTGGGGGTGCTTGATCATTAATGTTGAATGACGTGATCTCAGGGGCAGACAGGTAACTTTCATGGGTGGCTTGAAGACAATAGGCATGTCCAGAAACTGTCACAATGCATGTCTCACTTAAAAAAAAAAAAAATCTGTGCAGGTCAAATAAATTCTGCCAGTCCTCATGAAGAAAGAGAGGGAAAGTACCCACATATCATTCTGCTTGCACTGCTGTTTTTCTTATAAAGAAATATTTCTCGGCATCCCTGCCACTATCAAAAGTAGGGCCACAAGTGGGAAAATGAGAGTGAACACAGAACCAGCACATTTCACTCATTTATATTTCTTGGCTTGGCCGCTACAGGCATCTGAGTTAGAAACCTCTGCAAGAGAGATGGGAGTAGGTCTCATACCCACGGTAACAAACTGCTCTACCAGAGTCCTCCCTCAGCCTGCTCCATAGATTTGGCACTACAGACTACATCTACATTTGAGAATCAATAGAGGAATATAAAACCTACATTGGAAAGTCACTATTTAAACCTAACACACTCTATCACTTTAAATAAACAGTCAGCATCACAGTGTGGCACAAACTTGTGTTTACAGCTCGAAAGGCATTGGTTCAGATTTCTTGCACATGGGGAAGGTGCTTCACCTCTAAAAGTCTCCAATTCCTCAGCATAACGGTTGAGAAAATGTAAAGACTACGTCTGTCAGACTTCCAGCTTCCACTTAGGGTATAGAATGCTAGACAGGTGTTGTTCCCATACATAAAGCAAAATATACCCTGAATATCTGCAAATTCACAACTTTTATTAAGCCCACCAGAGAGCGGAAGTATGGCATAATCAACTAATCTAGGGGAAGTTAGGTGCTCCTAAGGAGTGACAGGA